ACCTATAGATTTGTATTAAAGACTCAAGCCAGCTTTATCTAGAAATCAATAGCTTGACATAGTACCTTTGTTATTATTGTAGGTCTGATATATAAGAATGTAATCTCTGAAATATGATCCTTGTCTTAATTTAGCTTCTGTATTAGTTTTAGAGCTTCCTTTGCCCCTTTCCCTTAGGATGTAGTATATAAAAGCAATAAATTAAAGCCATGCAAATACTTGCCCTTCCAAAAGACCACTGTACAGCATTTGAAAGACAGGATTCAACTGAATTTGCCTATTGTTTTTAGTATCTACCCTGTAAATGTGCTACTGAAGGACCATTGACTTGCTAGTGCTACACACTCAGATGGATTAGCTACAAATAACAATACTGAACTTCTCTACAGAATTTTTAAAACATGTTTCAAGCCCTTCATTAGATATATCTTAAAAATGTAGGAAAATGATGTGGCAACTCAACCTTTTACATCAGATTCCTATTGACTTGAAAGAATGATAATAGGCACTGGGTCATCATCTGTTTAAAGCCAAGCTTTGTGTTCTTATGAATAATTTTGCAGCTCTGTGGGTTGGATCCCAACTGATCCTACTGCATTGCGATGGCCAAGATGAACCTGCCTAGGTCTGTGGGAAATTATAAACTTTGTAGTGGCATTCTGCTGGATTACATCCCATCCAGATCACAAGTGTTAAAGAGTCAATGATGGGCTGTCAGTAGGACTCTGCGTTATCTGCAGTAGTGCCATGCAAGCATGGGACTGCACAGCGGTGAGCCATTCATTGTTTCCAGTTCACAAAAGAACATGGTTGCTGTGATTGCAGGGGCTTTCAGTTAATGGTTCAGATGCTGGTACCTTTCTGCAGTTTGACCTGTCAAGGAAGCCTGAATGTTAGTTTTCAAATGTCAGCAAGAAAAATAAAAGCAACATCTGAAGTCAACTAGAAAAATTAAAGCTAAAAAAATAAATGAGAGAAGAACCCTGAAGAAGCTCCAAGAAAACAAAACACAGAGTCTAACACTGTTATGACGGTTAGAAGAAAACTGGGCAAGTAGACCTGCTTAGCATTTTAATTAATTTAATATAGTAGGAACAACTTGGAGCTTTTCATGTCATCTGAACATTTCTTTTAGCGTTTAATGTTCAGAAAGTTGAAAA